TTTTTAAAGTAACTCATTTCTAATCATCAACTCTGGAAGGCTGCCGTAAAAGGGGAGGAGGAAAATGAGGTAAAGACGATATATGATGGAATGTAAATGAACCCAAGTATAATAAACTTCTGAATTTCAGCTCATGCCGGAACGGTGTTTGAAAATATCTAGGGTAACTTTAAGCTTACCTGAGGAATGGATTTTTTGGGCTTGGAACCGCCGATTTTGCCAGGCCGAATTGAGCCGGTGTCGCGATACCTTTAACAAAAGCACTTACTTGCTTCACACAAAGGGTTCGTCGGCTAGATCCTTCTAGTGGAAAATTCGTACATTCATTTTTTTAATAAATCCATAAACTCATTATTTTTCAATTGCTCGTGATAGTAAATTGGAGCTGTACGTGTGAAGGTTGGAACTGTTGTCAATGGCTCGATTCTAAGCAAATTATTAAAGAGGAAGTAAGCGGCTACCTTACCAATGAGTAGTTGATGTTGGCAGTGCGATATTACTTGAGTTACTTCAGGATGCCTCCACTTTCCATGAAGGGCAAATGTGAAGGAAGTTTCGACTTGACTTTTAAAAATAGAATATGTAAAGACAAAAATAGCGAAATTTGAAATCAATTTTTTTTAAGTTCGTGAGCTAACATTTTTCGTGCTTAGTTTAAATATGAAAATTAGTAAGTTGAAAAATCAAGGTAGATCAAAATGGAAGACTAAAAAGGTAAATTGGAACGTTGAAGCTGACTTACTTGGAGAGAATCTTTGAGACACATCCGTGAGACACTTGTAATTCGCGGGAGATCTGACAGGGCTTGGTTCCTGAAGCAGCCATCTCGATGATGCGCTCCCGGAGATGCGACGGTAGTGGACGCCCATTTGCAAAAATGCCACCTAGCTGGTTTGTGCCCGTCCTTGCTAAAGAGTCATTCACCGTTTGGACACGTGTTGGATTTATCTTGTAAACTTGCATGGCACTTCAAATTTTTGTTTTTATTTGCACCGCTACGCTTCGGGACCATCTAGCGGCAATGATCACGCGCGTTCTCACAGAACTCAAAATAGTAGTATTTGACGATGGAACTAGTGCCGAAGGGAAACGGCGTCAGAATTCTCTTCGCTAAACTTCCCTCACCGGCTCTTCCTTCCCCTAATTTTTTCTCACGCGTGGGATTTCCTGTTTCATTTCCATACAACGGAACTGGTGACACAGTGAAGATGAAAAGTATCGCTTTCACAGACGATGCAATGATCCAGCAATTGGGTCATCACTATCCAAGTGGTGGAAGAAAAAGTTCACAGCTGCAAAGTGAGAAAAAATAAAAATTAGCTTTTTGACGGACGCTCTTTGCTGTCGTTATTGGTGGTGGAAGAAGATACGGCAAAATCATTGCTTTGCCCACTCCATTCAGATGATGCCCGTTCGCTGCTTATGCGTTCACAGTCTTCTGCAGACTGAAAACAGAGAAACCTTAATGATAAACTCAATTATCAGCGTTTTTTTTAAGTGAAATAATAAAAGCTATCACTGTCATGCGTAACTTTATCCACCCTTTTACATATGCAAAGCATGGTGATAACACATTTGTAGTTATTATACTTATGCTGACAAAACGACCACAGTTGTCATTTAATTAAATTATTAAAAAGGTGATAATTATTACTAAATGACATTAAAAAACAACTTTAATTATCATAACTTACAATAACAAAACTTGAAATTGAAGTTATCATTAAGTTGCGCTGCTGCAACAACGAAAATTATCAGTTATAGCATGAAAAACTTGTAGTTATTGTAATTGCGTTGATAAAATAGCTGCAGTTATCCTTAAGCTTTTATCATCAAGTTATGCTCGTGATGCAGTTATAATCAGAATGCAGAAATGATAACCTTAAGCCATTCCTCGAACTTTCGGCTGAATTCGAAATCGAACTGAGTGCTGTATTGAGTGACAGCCGTATCAGATATTCCAGGAGTTGTTCCTGACACACCATCGTCGGCAATAATTACCGAATGCATGGTGGTCATTTTAGTATGCCCCAACCAATCTCCGTAAGCGATCGCGTTCTTTAGATGTACCTCAGCTTCTCTATAGATTTCAACAACGTATTTACCAAAGATTTGCAAGGAAAACGGATTCCGAACAAGAGCGGGGTGTGAACTGGGAAGAAGGGGATAGAGCTGCCATGGACACAGAAAAAGCAGTGCCAGCAAGAAGCTTTGAACACCAAAAACGAACTTTTTGCTTTATGCTATTACCGAAGCAGGAAGACCGGTTTGTATAAAGCCATCCCTGCTACCACTCAAATTCCCCGCTCTCTTTCGGTGTCCATTTTCGCAGCAGCTCATCAAAATCTGTTAAAAGCTCTTCTGTTTGAATTTTTACACGAAATACTAAATTCATGTTAGTGGTTTTTAAACAAAATTTATACTTTCAAGCGCCATTCTAACAGCCGATCAATGCAAATTTTGCACCAACCAAGACGAATGAGGATGGTACCACAAAGTAGCTCGTCTCGTTTCTGTGCTATCAGGATGACTTTAAATTTTTAGCCCAGAATTTAAGTTTATATGCAAATACATGCCAGGATGGCTGACATTTCATGCTCGGAATACCATCGAAGTTCGGGAAAATACTGACATAACTGAACCGCGACAAAAAGTTTATCATTCAAAAGTTTACTAGAGTTCTTTAAAAAGCCTGCACTGGATAGCTGTATAAAAAAGGCTTAAAATTATGCAGCAAGCAGAAAGCAGGCCTTTCAGTTAGTGATAGAATATTCAGTAACAGTTTATCACGGATCTGGTCGATCGTTATTTTACATCCTTTTGCAGCAAAATATAAAAAATATTCAAAAAAAAAATTATAATAAGCGTCGGTTACTGATGAGCTCTTCTCCTCCTTCTTAGGGAACTTCTCCTCCTTCTTAGGGAAAAAAGAATCGTTATTTTTCCAGAAATAATTGAAAATTAATGATCAAAAATTAATGGAATTAGTGAAAATTTGTGCATCCACCTGTTGTGCATCCGTTACTTCCATCAAAAAGCATATTTATTACCGAGAACATGAAAACTGCCTGAACAGTCGCTGTGGGTATCTTACATATTACTGGAATGCTCCCAAACAGCTAGCGCAGGTACGCCAGGCCTTCGATCCAAGACTGCATACCTTCATTGAGGGTATGGAGAAGAAAGATAACATTTTAAAAGATGGATCACTTTTAAAATGTTAAAGAAAAGTCGTTTCGCATCAACAGTAGACTGTGTTTGTTTCTGAATTAACATTTTATAATTTCCGACGTTAGAAATTTTTATTTTGACTAGTGCTTGCGATTTGCCCAATTAGCCAGCTACTGATAAAAAAATCTACGGTCAACATCTGCTTTATGCGATCTTTAAAAAAGTTTGATCATTCTTCGGACCCTGCAACTTAGGGTGCTAGAGAGGCTCAGCGTTATTTGTTTTTTTAGTTTCGGTGTTTTTTATTTTCGGTTCTTTCGATTGAAAACTTGCGCTAGGGATGACCGTTTGCAAAATTTTTTTCATGTATAAACGGAAGAGCAGCGGTGTTTTCTGTGCTATCAAGTGCGTCGATCCTGCGAAATCTTTGTTCGGAAGCTGCGTCAAAACATCATCGCAACCTGTTTGTTTTGCGCAATATGCGCCAAAAGCGGAGGAGGGTAGACTACCAAAAAACAAGAATGATTAAAAAAATTATGCTTCCGAACTTGCTTCCTCTACAGATGATGGCTGTTTGTAGCGATGTTGATCGATGATCTGATAGCGAAGATGCACGTCACTTTTTATCTGGCTTCAAATGCAGATTTTGAAAAGCCGAACAGTCCGTGAAGAATTTTGCGAGCCGGAAACTGGAATGGGCATGGTCTTCAGTATTAAATTGTGGCAACTTAAATTTTAGAGCATGATAATTTAGTGCTTTGATCAGCCGCTGCTTCATCCTCTCCTTTCTTCGCACCACTGATGCAGCTGGCATTTCTTTATTTTAGACCTTTTTTATTCAAACAATTGCACTGGAACATCTTGCCACCGCAGTGATGGTGCAAGTACCATTGAGTATTTGCTTTGTACATGTGTTGTCTTTCATTCCCGCCTCAGAACTGACTCATTTCTTCTTCCTGGCATAATGGTTGACACGAGATCGGGGTTGAAAAGTCGGTTGTTTAGAATCGCCAAAGGAATGGTACCGAGAGAGTGATTTCTTGTTCCTCACATCCTATAACGACATTCCTTATTTTTTTCACTCCAGTCGGTTACATGTTGATGATATACTGACAAACGATAGCTGATTCACTTGTAACAACATTTTTATCGGATTGCACCTCGCCTTTTTCAAAATGTGCAAATTTTTGGCGTTAGCACTGTTAATAAAGAGCGAAAACGAGAGCATTTTGTGGGGGTTAGATCACAGCTACCTGGCTTTTTGTGAACCAATGTGCCTGCTCCCACTAAGAGCTAGAGGAGTTGGGTTAGTGTACTAAGCAGAGTTTTACGAACTTATCATATCATTACTTTCCCTTAGCTCTCATTGTCCTTTTTCAATGTTTTTGTTCTTTTTTGTTTCCATTTCACACCACGTCATGCCAAATGTGCGAAAGAAAGAATGACTGCTATGAATTTGCACTGAAGCAAGTGTGCAACAGTGCGTGAAAACAACAGACGCAGTTATAGCCTCAACCGTTTTTAGACACATAAATATGTACGGTTGGCGAGTCACAGGCTAAAATTATCCAGAAAATTTCTTTGCTTCAACAACTATTTCGTTCTTCATTTGCTGGCTACAAACTGAGGAATGGAAGAACATCAAACACATCCGTTTCGAAAACAACATCTCCCGAACACATATGAGTTTTCCAATTTTAAATAGCTTTTTTGGCAGTTCGCAAATGGTACTCAATAGGATCTTCAAGAATTTAAGTTTTTGGAGGAATCTGCAAAAGATTCTCGTGAAAATCAACCCTCGATTATGGGAAGCACTGCACAGAAAAAAAGGACGATTGGACACGGGGAAACGGGGAGCTGCAATCTTCACATCAGCTTACTGTTATCACAACACTGCAAAAACAATAAAGCGAATCAGTGAAACATCATCAGTAGTATCATCAAAGTTTGCGAAAGGTCAACGGTCAAGATAAAGCAGCTCCTTCAAGCAAACGATAAATATGGATCGCGCTTTGCAAACGCAAAATTACGCATTGAACGCTTAGCGAAAGCGAAACGCATAGCCCTCTTTTCATAATCGTCCATATCCTGAAATGGCCACCTACTGTTAGAACCATACTGAAATTTTAAAACTCTCGATACCGTTGGGGCACGGCCCTGGCCGGAATAGACGGCCAACTTAGCTCGGGCAACATTCCTTCCGCTATATTCATCATTCACAAGCAACTTCACAACTAGATCCGAAAACTGTCTTTCTAGAGTTTCTACTTCCACCCTGAGTAAAATTAAGGTTAAAAAATAAAAAAAAATTTAACCCAAAAAATTTGAAAATTTGTATATCTAACAATTCCTGTTTTATCAAAAATTGTAAACAATAAATAAGTATCTCCCAGCATAAGGATATTAGTAATGAGATACGTAAATATAAAAATCAGCTACTATTATAGCTAATCAAAGCATCGAAGCACATACTAGTTACAAAAATATTATGCTTCAATTGCAGTCTGTCATATTATAAAAATTCACATCAAAAATTTATCGTAAAATTTGATGCTAAAGAGATTTTTTTTAAAAAAAAAAACATCGTTATTTAGAAAGCTAAGTATTAATCACGTAAACACTTAAGGAAAAGTAAAAATTTTTTGTTAATATAAATTTTTAATAATAATGTAAATTTTAATAATGTAAATTAACAGCCATGGAAAAAATAATCATCAGTACTACCTCATCAACATTTCGTTTAGCGAATGCGAATCTTGACGGATACCGTTTGGCGAATGCAAATTTGGCTCGCTTCGCGAATGATGATAATGAAGATTTATCCAACAAATCGTCTGACATCTGCGAAAAAAAAGATCTTTGCAACCGGTTTTTGTTTTACTTTTTTTTGGACGGAAAATCTTGATATAAAATGGTGACAAATTAGCTTTGTCTTGTGTCTACTGGATCGCTTTGCCCATCTGTTATCTCTGTGGTCAATACTTTTAGGAAACGGGATGCCAAGTTTATTCATATAAAAACTCCCAGGATTTTTCTACGTAAAGGTGTCTGGATCTTCTAAAAAACAGGCACGAGATCACCCGCCCATGTCAATAAGTTAATCCTGCTTAAAATTCAAGAAAACCATTTTCTAGTACTCTTCAAAATGCCACACAAACGTCTTGTAGTGGAATAAGGCTGAGGTGTTTTTCGCAAAACGAAGCAGATTTTGTCAGTGTGAGCAAATGCGGAGAGTTTCTGACTTGTTTGGCGTTTCTAGCATGAAACGAAAGTAAATCGCGTCTTATGTGATTGAACTGATGACTTTGTGAGCCTAGATAGATCGAAAATTTTTATATGTTTAGCTCCTATCATATTTCTTTTCCCCAACTGGCTGTGGTATTGCCCAGAGAAGTACGGGAAAAGTTTCTGAAAGGGAAGGGAAAGGAAAGTGAGAAGTCCTAGATAAATATTGAGTTCATCAGTTTCTCTAAAAAATAAGTCAAAATTTCTTTATTCATTACGAACTTTCGTAGTATGATACTTCAAATGGCTGGAAAATTTGCAAAAACAAAGGCATTAATATTTTTTGGTGACACACTTTCTGAACAGTAGGGGATTTCGTTATGGTCCCCAATACACAGTTCTCGATCTTCAAATCGAAAATTTCATAGTTTTTGATTCTGGACAAAACTTTTGAGACAATGCGGATTCAAGCAAAATTTTAAAGAAAAATTTAATCGCTTTAAAGAATTAAAAGCGATAAAATTTTATGGCGGGGTCCTTTCTGGAAAATTCTAAATTTTGTGCTTTTGAATTTTGCTGTTTCCTTGCATTGTAATTAGCCCATTATTGAGTATTCTCCCGTTATTGAAATTCAGATACAGTAGTTTCTCTTCTGCCTTCTCCACCCTCCCCGGCCCTCATATCCTGTAAGCGAGGCGAAAGTAATTTCTCAAACAGTGATATGGTTGCGAATATGTAAGAACTGGGATTTTTTGCTTTGCCACTGTTTCATACTCAGGAAGAAACCATCATCTCTTCTCAGCGACACCTTCTCTACTACGACATCTACACTAAGCGACATCTTTTTCTCTACTGCCGTGTCTCCTCCTAATCAACCACAGAATAAAAACCCTTTTTTTGGGGTATGCAAAGGCTGTTAAATACAAGTCTCAAGAATTCACGTGAGTCAACACTTGTAAGTCTTAGTATATGAGCTAAGTAGGGAGTTTATCTTCATTCCGACATCGGGCAACTTACACAGAGAACTAAAATTCGCCGATCCAGGAAAAACAGAAAAAGCAAAGCCATTTTTTCAACAGCAGATGCAAATTCTGGACAAACACTTAAAAAATCATATTAAATAATGCACGCCCAACACTTTCAAATAATGCACCCTTAACACTTAAAAATTCAAATAATGCAACCTTAACACGTTTTCTAAATGGCATCTTACGAATCACGTTAAAAGCATCGAGCGAAACTTACCTCTTGACAGGTTACTGTGGTGAGGAATAGGAATGCACAAAGAGCCGATACTCCGACACCTGATACCATTTCCCAGTGTATCCTGAAATTTTACTTCTTGATACTCGTTTTTTCATCCAGGATAACAACGCGGGCTCGAATATAGCGAACACTTCCATAGGTACCAAGCAATGATACAAATGCATGTACACGTTTATACATCAAGATTACTGCATTATCAGTTGTTTATCTTCTGTCATGGACTCTTTCCAATCAAGATTAATCTAGCAGAACGTGACGCAGAATTTTCTTGACATATTAGGAGCTGGCAAGGTTTGTACCTTGCCATGTTTAAACATCGTCTACTCCGTAACCATCCTGCTACTGCGACGAGATGCCTGGGTTAAGATTTCGTAGAAAGTACTAATATACGCATCAAACATCAAAAATGCGCCATATTTAACTTTTTAGAGAGGTAAATGGAGCGCGTTACCAAGAGTCAGTTCTGAAAAGACTGTCGGTGGTTACTTCTTCTAGGGATTACTTGTGAGCAAGCAGTGGTAATTTTCATTAAATCCATAATTACTACTTGACCACACAAAAAATCAAAATTTATAAAAAATTTGGCCCACTAGGCAAAGAATTTAATTGCAAACTTAACAGAAGCACTTCTGACCATTACAACAAAACTGCTGTTTGCCTGTAATGCTGTGATACATAGACAAATTCAAACGTGCATTTTAAGTATTTAATTATATGCGAACC